CCTTACTGTACTGTATGTCTCAAACCTTATTTTCTCTCAGTATGAGTCTTAGACAGTTTTTATGCATGTATATGATGATAACTATAAGAGTGACAAGCTGGTGCATACAAAGTGTTAAAAGCCTTGCAGGCCAGGATGACTTGATTTTATTGTCTTACGCTTGCTGGTAACCCATCACTTAATGCTAACATATGCAATACACACTACATTACGGATCATAAAGCGATTTACACGAAAACTGTTCCCAGATGTAATTTCCAGGAGTACTTTTCATCTGTAATCTTTGTCCAAACTTGCAGTGTTGTTCCACTGTGGGATTCTGCTGCAATATTGATGTTTCAATTAGAACAGCGTTACATACCGCCACAGCCTCGTAACACTGTGCATCTCCGACCATCTGCTGCACTTCCACATATGAAGAACGAGACACGTGGGGCTAATCGAGCTGCACATGAGCGATGGGACCAGCAGCTCGCTCATGTCTCTATACAGATTGAGAGGAGTTTGTAGGACCGGTATCTCAGGTAGGCAACCTGCCTACAATCCCTCCAGTTAATGTGCTTGGGCGCATGGCAGCTGTCCCGGAGTTTGCCCTGCTAACCCTATTTGTGGAAAAGACATGTACTGTTTCTGAAATAACTTGTTGCCACTTGAGATATGTTTTTTTTTTTTTTTAGGATTCCAAGTCTTAACTGACTCTGCTAATGTCAGGCAGCCTTAAAAGTGCACTCCGTAAGTTTTTATTTACTTTTAGCCATTTAGTCTGTTATTAGTCCCAATAGTACCAGTGGTTTTGACCTTTGACTCCTATGGGACAGATTGCATGAAGTTTGTTTGTGCTACTGATGTTATTATGATTAGTAACTTCATGAATTTCAACATAGTGGCACCCATGACGGGATAAAACCAGCTCCATGTAGAATAAAACAGCTTTCTTTGGACTGACATGCTTAAATGTCTCAGTGTTCATCAAGTGCTGTTCATTTCTCCAAATCAATTAAAATATAAATTATAAAAAAAAATAATTAGCAAAAGTATTGAGTGCTTCTTTAACAGTAGAAGTGGTTTGCTCAATTTAAAACCAGTTCAGTGTTTTAAATCAGAGTTTTAAAAAGTTAAATGTAATGTCATGAAATATTGCAATTAAGTGCGTATTTGGAATCCTTAAAATTTGGATTTGTCCGCAACCTGTTGTTCTTTGGAAACCATGTTGAAGCGATTAAAGGTTTAGTTGCTCGATTCAAATTAATTCAGGGAGTCAGTCTGTTATTTGGCAGTGTTATTTATTCAGGAATAAGAGTAAATAAAGCACAGTAGATGATTTCTCTCGAATCTCTCCATCTCATAGGATGTGCCATTTGATCATGGCTCTTGTGTGAAGGGGAAAAATACCACAGTTCTTCTACTGATCCTGTTCAATTGACACGGATCTGAATATGCTGGAGTCACTTTTGGTGCATGGATGGATCGCATAACAGGTCTCCACTTTGCCTCACAGGGGTGGTCTCTTGCGCCCCCCACAATGGATGCAGACATTCGGAAGCCAATTGTAGCGAGGGACAGATTTAACGATGTCTTTGTGTGGATTAATTGCATGGAATTACTAGATTCTCGGTGCAAGACCTGTTCAACAAGAGCTCTACTCCCCCACTGACAGAGATGGTTCTCCCCATTCCCAAACAATCACACGCACGCGTACGGGCTAATTCCCTTTTTAGAATGAACAACTAATTCACATTTTTCTAATGCTATATGTAACCCAGCTTTCAGTATGCAAATTATACATTGACTTTCAGGGACCAGCTATTTGTTTTTTAAATTGCTTTTTAAACGTACGCCTAATGTAAATAGCGCAATCTGTTGAGGTTCTTTTTTTTTTTAAAACGAAAATATTTTGTTTACCTAAAGAAAATACTTTTTGAACAAAACACAAAAGTTTTTATTGTATGTTTGTAAAATAAATAGGCTAATGATGTGTGGTGCATTATTGACTTCCGCCAGACACTGACCGCAAAGCGCAAATGAAAGCGCGTGACTGGCGTGCTGTTGCTATGGTTACCTGTTTATTTGCGGATTTGGCAACAGTTTTAAAGTAGCCTACATGCTCAGACTAACTTGTAATCTAACTAAAACATATTGTACGTTTGAAAACCTTGTTTAAACCTCTATTTAGGCTACCTGTATGAAACAATATGTAGGCTACTTCTACTAAGACACCCCCCACCCCCCATTTTTTATCTGCCTTAATTGCAAGATATTTTGTCAATCTTAGCTTTTGCTACGTTTCAGGTGACCAGACCGTCCGTCAATAATTAGCGTAACTATGAGAAGAGTTTGATTATTGTGTGATTTAAAGCATGTCTTTGTAAAATGTAATTAATTATTTTCAATCAGTAGGCTATTTGAACATGACCGGGATCTTGTGTGAAATCCACAGAGGGAAATATGTTGATGTATGTGGAGACAGTTACCTAATTAGACCATAAAAAATGGAATCTTTGCAGCATGCGGGTCATATAATTACTGTTAATTTAACGCTCAGATTCTCTGTCATTAATTTTTATTCCCTTAAATGTAGTTTGGCAGCGGCTCCCGGAGCTCAGAAATAGATTTCACTGTATTTGAGAGCGCGCTGGCCCTTCCAAATGAATTACCATAGACCCCACAGTCCAAATAACAAGACTCGCATCATTTATGCGTTGTTAAGCCATGTAATTGAACGATCCATAGTTTGCATATTATACCATTAAAGTAATGTGCTTTGGTTTTCTCCCAACACGACTATTTAAGCTTCTGTGGCGTTGTGGTAATTCTCTGAATTACAACCTTAATTGCCATAAATGTTCTTTTGATTTGGGTGATTTCACTGTTACGCTACAATGATGTTCATTATTACGCGGATGAATTTCCGGAACGTGTCTTTAAAGTTTTCTCTCTTTTTTTTCGTTTTTTTGGGAACACCCTTTAACCCCCACGCGCTTGAACACAATTAGTCTGACTGGATATTGTTTTTGCGTCTTTTGCCGGTTTTCCCTGGATGACTGACATGTGCCTCTTGTTTTTTCGTGTTTGTGTATTCGTCCAATTTTATAAATCTTATTTTGATATCGGAAAATCATAAAACTAGCCATGTAGAGCACTTTACAACAAGAACTTTAGATGGTTTAGGCCTTCCTTTTTTTTTGGAAACAAATAAATTGAAACATTTCAAACAAAATGAGTGTGTGTGCCCATAAACACTTTTACATTTAGGCTATAAACACCAAATATTAATGCTCTCTTTTATAAGTAGCCAAATTTATTGTAATTAATATATTTAATTTAGGCTATAAAAGACTGAAGATTATAATGCTTAAGTTAGCCTAAATGTGTTGAAAGTTTTTGCAGACCTATGTCAATGACTTTATTGGGTTTTCTAGCTTGTTTATCATGTTGGCTGTTGTTCAGTGATGCGTAATTGGACGGTGCTGTACGCCCTTGCTTTAAAGTTCATTAGTTGTGCAAATTACACTTTATTTACTGCCTTTGAACAGTTCCTTAAAATCAGTTGATCTCTCTCTCCCTCTCTCTCTCTCTCTCCCTTTCTTTTTTGTTTCTTTTTGTCTTTTGTCCATTACCCATTCTGATTTACGTAGAGCCTTCCAGAGGAGGCGATAGCCTACTGGTGACGTATGAGGCGTTGTTTAATTTACTGCTCTCTATAGCAACCAGCAGCGCTGCTGAAAAAATGTCCCCCTCCTCGGACAATGTCGTGTGCTTTTCTTTACAGAGGCTCACAGAGGAGCCAGCTGGTCAGCTTTAGACACCTGCGGTCCCAAACGGCCCACTCTTTTCCCTCGGAAATATTCTTTTGACGTGTGTAGCTACACCATGCAAACCCAGAGAGAGAAAAAAGGGATTTAAAAAAAAGATTTATAGAGGCAGTTGTTGGCTAAAAGAGATTTGTAATTAGATATTGAAAATGCCCATTAGATGTATGGAGTAATTATATTTATATAATTATATATTTAATTTAATTAGACATAAAAAGTAAAATAAACCTACTGGTCACTTGCTACTCCGAATAAATGGCATGTTTAAGAGAACCATGCTCTGCAGCACATGTGCTTCTGTCAGTCAGTTGTATCATGTTTGAACCAAATCGACATCTTTGTTTTATCTGGGATCACTTTAAGGTGAACGCAATCTATACCTAAAAACGTTTCATATTTTGGGAGTTTTTCCCCCTTGTTTCAATCTTTTATTTTATTTTTTAACTAGTAGCCTGAGTGCAGCTGTCTTTCATTCACTTTGTAGTACGCGTCCTTACAAACACTTATATATTTTTTTTATGCCTTGAAGAGATGAAGTAAAACGTACTGCTACAAACATGAGAAAACATAACAACATAAAACATAATATCACGTTTTTCGTTCTCATTATTATGTATACTTTAAAACTGTTGTAAAGACAACATTTATATATAGGCCTAGCCTATATATTTATATGTCTAGCCTATATAAATATGTAATAGAAACGAATGTTAAATTAAATAGCTATGGTCCTCAAAATAAATACCAATTTTACAAAGCTAAATTTTCACTTTAACTAATCTTCTCCAGGTACAGCATCATTTCATTAAGATGTGAAAAAAACAGGTATTCGTTAAAGCCTTGTTTGTGGCAGTTCTTCAAAATCAAACACCTGATTGAGGCAACCGACATTTTAAAAACTAGTTAACACCTTTTCCCTCATCTAAAGCAGGAAATTGTGTTTTTTCCCCCTTAGAACTCTGAACATTTGCTGTAAAGTCCGTAAAGTTGACTCTGTCCAAATACCTTGCTCATAGTTAGGCCAGCAAACTTCGCGCTAGAAAGATTCAATAGTTTCCCTTGTTTGACAGATTAATCCCCGGAACCTGTAATCAATAAATGTATGAAATGACATCTTATAAAATAGATTTTTTTTATTATTATTTTTTGCATTGCATTGCATAAATTCTATTAAATAAGACACATTCATACGCACACAATTGCAAATTCCATAAAAGACAAGTTTGAAATGAATTTCTCTCCAAGTTATAAAAATCATAACCTTTGATGTTCTTCGCTCCGGTCTTGGTGGCCCGTCGGTCCCTCACATTTCAGAGGTGCTGCAGGACACGGAGTTCTTTTGAAGGAAAGAGGCAGTGTTTGTTTAGACTCTCGAGCATCCAATGAACTGAAGGCTGCCTCCAAAAAAGCGCGTCCATCGTTCCTTTCCACCCAATGAGCGCCGTCGAGGGGCGGAGCTCAGGTGCGCGCCGCTGCGTCCACTTGGCAAAGAGCCTGGGAGACGCCTGTGGCAAAAGAGTAACTGTCAAATGCAAGGTTCCTTTAATAGGAGCGATCAGTCCGGCTCCGAGAGTCATGGCGACTACAGCATCCAATCATTACAATATCCTCACCTCCAGCTCATCTATTGTACACTCGGAGCCTGGGAGCATGCAGCAAGCTACGGCTTACAGGGACGCGCAAACCCTGTTGCAGAGTGACTACTCACTGCAGAGCAACAGTCACCCGCTCAGCCACGCGCACCAGTGGATAACAGCCTTGTCACACGGAGAAGGAGGACCGTGGTCGTCCAGTCCCCTCGGCGAGCAGGACATCAAGCCAGCGGTGCAGAGCCCCCGGGACGACATGCACAATTCCAGCAATTTACAGCATCAGTCGCGGCCACCCCACCTGGTACATCAGACGCACGGGAACCATCACGATTCAAGGGCATGGAGAACAACGACGGCAGCTCACATCCCCAGTATGGCCACTTCGAACGGACAGAGCCTTATTTACTCGCAGCCCGGCTTCAGCGTGAACGGTCTCATCCCGGGTAGCGGCCAGAGCATCCACCACCACAGCATGCGCGACGCGCACGAGGACCACCACAGCCCGCATCTCAGCGACCACGGCCATCCACCGTCCCAGCACCAGCACCAGCCGCACCAGAGTCACCACGACCACTCGGACGAGGACACGCCGACCTCGGACGACTTGGAGCAGTTTGCGAAACAGTTCAAGCAGAGGAGAATCAAGCTGGGCTTCACGCAGGCGGACGTCGGACTAGCTTTGGGAACGCTGTATGGAAATGTGTTTTCGCAGACCACGATATGCAGGTTTGAGGCCCTGCAACTCAGCTTCAAAAACATGTGCAAGCTCAAGCCTTTGTTGAACAAGTGGTTGGAGGAGGCAGACTCCACATCTGGCAGCCCCACGAGCTTGGACAAGATAGCTGCGCAGGGGAGGAAACGGAAAAAGAGGACTTCCATCGAGGTAAGCGTCAAAGGGGCTTTGGAGAGCCATTTCCTTAAGTGCCCAAAGCCAGCCGCGTCGGAAATTACTTCACTGGCGGACAGTCTGCAGTTGGAAAAAGAGGTAGTGAGGGTTTGGTTTTGTAACAGGAGACAGAAAGAGAAACGGATGACTCCTCCCGGCGGACCTCTACCGGGTACCGAGGACGTATACGGAGACACGCCGCCGCATCACGGGGTTCAGACGCCAGTTCAGTGAGAGAGAGAAAACACAAAAAACAATTCAAAATCAAGGACATATCTATCATATTGACTGCCTCAGTCTTCATTTATGATTATGTTCAAATTGGAACTATCCAAAGTGAAAGCAGCTGCGGTTTAGACTACTGAGGCGGGAGAGCAGATTATATCCGTCTTCAATGTTACTCAAAATTCGTACCGCTGCAACAGAGGGGACCGTGCGTTCCCCGCGCGAGCAAAGAGAACGGTTGTTCTGTGAATACCCAGCACTGTGAAAAGACGCAGTTTTAAGGTGTAACCCTACTATTTATCAAACACTTTGAGACGAGCGAAATGTCCCTCAAACGCGAGCATGGGTGTCCCATAGACAGTTGTTTACATCTAGACACATTCACTGCATTTTCTTTGGCAGGATTAGCCTGAAAAGTGACTAGTGCTGCAGCATTTGACAAATACACGCCATTTTTACTTTTGTTGTGGGCGACTGAGGGTGAACATCGATTCGATTGAAAAAAACAAAAAAACAGCAACATCAGTGTGACATGCATCCACCCATAGTAGTCAACAATTTTCTTGGGATCAAAGGCCTTTAAACATCATCATTATTATTATCATTATTATTATTATTTTAGATACAGCCTATGTACCAGTTCGCTTACTCAGAGAGTGAGGTGCAAGGTCACACTAAACAGATGTTGTAGTCTTGGCGCCAAGAAATTAGTCTCACACAATTGATTCTGGTATCCGTCTCCATCTTATCAATACGGATGGGTCTAAATTGGACAAATAAAAAGATACAGCATCAAACTTCTAGCATCAAGCTGCAGACTGGTCACCGAAGGGCTAGTGATAGAAACCTGGCATTTCCTTCGATCTAGTCATATTACCATAAAATACAATTGTTTCACAGGACTCCACACAGTGCTGTAAATATTGTATAATTTTTAAAGGACATAGTTACGTTATTCTCTCACTTGAGCACTTTTTCGTGTTATTTTGAATTTGGAAAAGATTTTAGAGGCTTTTGTTTATTTTATTTTGGTCTCATTTGTTTTAACTTTAGAGCTGGTATATTTTGCCTTTATATTTATAGTCATTTAGCCGAATTTTGCTTGCTATCTCTTGCGCGAGTCAGTTGCTTTTTAACCCACATTCAGCTGCTTTTTTTATAAATTATGAGCTGACTTTACTATATGTTTATGTATAGTAAACAATGTTCAGTCTTCAACAATGTTAGCACTATTTTCTACCCAACGAATTCAATACTATTATATATCTGAATCATTTGAATGTCTTTTTAATTATTTTGAAATAGAGATTATTTACACAGTATCGTGGAGAATGGGAAAATCAAGTGATGTGACCTGCAATATTTTCATTTAAAGTCAAACGATTCTTCATTGTTTCATATTTCCATAATTTATCAAGCATCAATTTGGAACATAGCAGCACTATTATTATTATTAGGCTATTATTATTATTATTATTATTATATTATAATAATAATAATTATGATTAGGCTATTATTATTATTAATAAATATTCTCCACGTTTACCCAACATCAGAGCTATAGCCTACATATAGTAAAAAGGATATCCTACTTGGATTTAACTGTTTTTTTTTTTTTTTTTTTTTTTTTTTTTCTCTGCTTTATAGTTCTTCGTTGTGTTAGTCCCGCGTTCGCTTTTATTGGGACACGATGCAGTGATGATTTACTGAAAATGTAAACTGGAAGATTTGAAAAATGGAAAGATATGTCCAAGGGGCTTGCTATACGTCACTATGTGTAAATACAATACAACAATCAGAAAATATTATTATTATTATTATTATTTTCTTATTGTACCTATTATTTTGCTTATATTTTAATTAATATTTTTGTGTAAATCTATTCCACAGAAATTCCAGGGACATCTGTTATTATCGTTCTACTTTTTTGTTCTGTTTTTTCAAAAGAAACATTTACATAGATTAATTGATCAAACTGTCATGTAATTCTACAAAGATTGTGGGAGCTATTTATTTGTCGTTTTATTTTTCTCTGTCAGAAAGACTCCATCAAACCTTGAACTGGATGAATTTGTGGGTAAAATAAAATGCGCAGAGGTTGTGATAGAATTTTGTTTTTGTAGAGGCTAAATTATGTTTTTCTAAATCGCAGAATCAAAACTGACATTGTATGTTGTCGGGTGTAAAAATGATGTGGGGATGTAAAAATTTATTTATTGACGTCTCGGTTATGTTTTTTAACGAATTTTTAAAATCTAAAACAGAAGTAACACAACAGTCTTGCGTTTTCAAATGGGTTGAAATGTCAACTCAATCTCAAGTGAAATTGAAAGCGTGAAATGTGTAAGCCCCAACAAATGCAAACCGAGAAGTTTTGTTTATTTTCCCTGAAAGGGGAAAAATAGGCCGATATAGCTACATTCTGAGATATTGAGGACTGACACTGCTAAGGCCTGTATTCTTGTGTTTAATAAAACACGGTGCTTTTTGTGTTAAAGGCTGTAGGCTATAGCCTATAAGAATGTTCGACCATTGTTTAGAAAAACTGAACCCTTCAATTTGGTATATTTTGTAACTACAGTTATGAATGAAGTAGGCTACTATTTTGAAAGTGTCACTATTTTTGTGGCATCAAAACGTGGACCTCGATATCATTCCCATATGGCATTAGGCCTCATTTCTCGTGTAGGCTATATTTGCTATTCTTGTTGCAAAGAATGCAGTTACTTTTAGTATAATTGTGGCAATAATAGGCCATAAAATACTATTTTACGGATCCAATGTAAGACATTACGCCGTCTTTGTAATGACAAATGGTATTGAATTGGGCTGCTCTTATATGAGTCTTCCGTGGTACTTTGCATGGAAGTGAATCGTGCAAATTTCAATCTCTTTACAATTCAGAGAATATTTCAATAAAGTCAAGACATTCTTCCATAATATAGACAATTTACAGCTAGACTAGTTTTTGAAAAAAATTTAAAAGTGATACAATTCTCTCCATATTTGAGAAAACATTTTAAGTCTAGAATTGAGTGTATTCAAATCGTGATTGTGTAAGAGCTTATCCTTATCCTCTAGTGCCACCTAGTGAGATTTTTTCTAGGACACCTAAAGCAACATTGATTAAACGTAACAACAGCAGCACATGGCGATTGTAGCTCAACATTCCGGGGTTTTCTTCGATGCTCTCTGACCTAGGCAGCCATGTTCATTTGCACATTTACGTTACACACACACCCTGGCTCATAATGAATCATAGCTGTTCCTGTTTTTTCCCAAAACTTTGGTTGAAAATACCAAAAGATAGATAAACTAGTTTTGCTGAGGTGTTAGGCAAACAAAAGACACGAACACTTGAAATTGTATTCTGAATCCAATATTTAAAATGTCCACCAGATTAGCGTTCACATATTTCAAATTTTGAAGGCCTATAAATGTTGCATTTTTAACAAAACCTCTTTAAAACTTGATTAGACTTCGAAAAGTGCTTTAAAAATGTAAACCAAACCTATGATGGGTAGGCTACATCTTTTATAATAGCAAATTCATTATTTTATGTTCATGTTCTAAAAATAATGTTAAAACTTACTGCAAAAGCATGCACTACATTTTCAGGTTTCGTTTATTTAAATCTGCTTACTAAAACAATGTTAGGAATCAAGCCTGCACAAATGAGGTGTTAATAAGATTTCTCAAACTGGTTTTTGTTGCTAAAAGATGAAACAGAAAATTTCAAATGCATATTGATGCTAAAACCATTGTAACAGGAGTGCATTGCCGCTACTTAATTACAGGGTCCAAAGGCAGAGGCTGACAGTGTTGTTATGCTTTGTACTGTTGATCTATTTACAGGGGTGTAATGACAGTTTTCTGCATGTACTGACTAGCAATAGTTGTATGGAAATCAAGAAATCGTTTCATCTAATTAACTGCATCCCTCTAGGTCCTCGGGGCACATTAGAGCTCCTCAGTCCATCATTAAAGCAGACATAAACAATTCATTACATCACTGTTAGTCCAATGAGACTGTCACTGCCAGATGCAATATTAATATCCCCTTAAACTCAGAGGGATTAAGACTAAGGATGTTTTTGACTTTCAGTTTGACCAAACTATTGAATCTAACTGGTGGAAATAGTATAGACCAACCACACATGCCAAACATAATCTGTGAGAAGATTTAGCACTGGTAATAAGATAAATTATTTCATAATCACAGAAAAGACAGAGCATGGTATTTTCAAATGGAAAAAAAGAACACAAAATATTAAGCCTCACTTTATTGAACCAAGACCTCATGAGTGTCACTCTCAGTCACTCTGAAATAATGCTAAAAGCCTGCTTCTTCCAAACAGCACAAATTTAATACAATATCCTAAATGACAACATTAATTCACTGCAGCTACTGTATAATTTAACATAAATACAATCTATATAATGTTCGGTTGCTTCAAATTAACGTTAGAGTTTTTTTACAGGGTGCTAGTGAAGAACAGGTACGTCAAATTGAAAGAACAATTAAAAAAAATATATATATGGCACTTAAACTTTTACCAAAAGCACTAAACAATTTCTCCTTATCCTTGTTTTGACATAAATAATTGTACACCTCTAAAGAAAACACAGCACTTGCCATCTGTGTTTTTCAAAATGAAAGTGTATTATAAAAAAGGAAAACCCTTTGGTTTAGGGTGTTTTTGGCAAATCGCAATTTAGCATAGCACAATACAGACGACCAGCAAATTTACAAAGCACTTCTCTCTTTAAACCTAAGGCACAAGGATATGTCATCTAACATTTAGCATGCGCCTGTGTACAAGAAAACGTCAAGTTTTGCAATAGAGAAAAGCTTATGTTTTGGTATTTGCCCTATTGTGTGTGCATACAAGTGCATAACAGGATTGACTCAAAATATGGGCAAAGTTTCACTCAAACTAGGTATTGCCACAAAAAAGATGTCTGTGCCCACGATTCAAGTCAATGTGGCCCTGAATTTATAATCAATCAATTAATAAATAATCATAGTACACCATGTTACTATTTCACAATATTCAACAGCGATTTGACGACATTTAACAATGCAAATAAAACATTGGTACTGATACACTTGAATAAGTATGTTTAAAACAAAACCCACAGCATACTACAAACGTCTCTCTCTGAAGACAAAAATAAAACCCTGAGATTAAGATCAAAAACTGAGGTCTGCTGAAATGTGTGAGATTCAATACATAGTGAGACCATTCAAGGTGAGAGAGTGTGAAACATCCATAACATCTTCCAAGCGGCAGTTCACAGCTCTGTGCAGTTCAAGGCAGCAAGTCCACAGCACCAGAATGCACCACCCTTCTCCCAAGGGTCTTAAAGTCCGTCCCATGAAGCTGCTTCTGCTCAGGAGGGCCCATTGAGTTTTACTGAGTGAAACTCTTCTTGATGGACACATTCGGGAAAAGGCCACTGAGCTCCTGGGAGAAGCGAGAGTCGATCTGCGAGCAGAAGGACACGTCCAACAGCTTTAGCCGAGGACAACACTGCAGTAATTTCCGCAGAGATGCAGAGCTCACCATTCGTGTGCCTGAGAAAACGAAGAAAAGTTAAAGGGATAGTTCACCTGATTGCTGTGTCGTCATTTATTAGAAAGAAATCATTACTTTTATTCAGCAAGGATACATTAAATTGATCAAAAGTGACAGTAAAGACATATACAATGTTTCAAAAGAGTTTTATTTCAAACAAATACATCTTTTTCAGGATACATTAAGCAGCACAACTGTTATCAACACTAATAATAATTAGAAATGTTAGAATGATCTCTGAAAGATAATGTGACTGGAGTAATGGCTGCTTAAAATTCAGCTTTGCCATCACAGGAATAATGCTGCCTTCATGTTATCGGACATTTCCTAATTCCCACTTCTGGAGTTGTGATTACAAGCGCGCCACGTTCAAGTGCTTTGTTGTCGGAAAGAATAGGGATCAAGGAGGACACCAGGTTTATTCTTGCCTGTTTCTTGGGGAAATCTTATTAAAGCCTAAATGTATTGAAGATATTTAATTTGGAAGAAAATTTAGTTAGCAACCATAAACATTAACTGCGCTATCTATATAGTCAGCTTGCTGACAATTCTGAAATTTCAATTAAACACATGCTATTTTCACAGTGTATAAAACATACAATATGTTTCAAATGGTTAATCATATATGTAAATATACACTTCTCTAACGACAAGACAAGGCGACGTAGCGGTTGTGAAATAAACTAATAAAGAATACCAGTCACAGCTGCAATCATTCTCCTCTCTGCCACGTTTAAAATTTATGGTCCGCCCAACTTGGGAATCAAAATGATCAAGACGATAATTTTGTAAATACGACTGGAGAGGACGTTCATGTCCAATTTCCGACTAGGAAATTTCGATTGCACGTGAGGGTAGCATTTATTTCCATTTTAAAATACTTCATCCTACGACCACAAAAACACTGAAATATTTTTTTAAACATCTTTTTTAACAAAAAAACACTCATCTCACCCAGAATATCAAGGTGCTCCAGAGCGCTGCAGTTAGCGGCCAGCTCCTCCAGGTCAGTGTCACACACGGTGCGGTTGGCGGTGAGGAAGAGCTTGCGTAGGCGGGGCAAGCTGCGGGCCAAGTGCTGGAAGCAGCCGGTGCTGCTCTGAATCGTGGAGCACCAACCCAGGTCCAGCTCCTCCAGGAGCCTGCAGCCCGAAACCAGCTCTGCCAGTCCACGCTCGCTCAGGTTCCTGCAGCGCCACAGGTCGAGGGAGCGTAGAGAACGGCAGCGTGCGCTCAGCATGCTCGCCACCACATCATAGTCCTCAATCTGTGATGAAATCACCATGTAGCCACAGTGAAGCACTCATTGATAACTGACCGTCTCTAAGCTCTACTATGAGCTGCATGTGAAGACACACAACCAGACAAGCCGATGTTCCTGTGGCTGAAATGGATTGAATACGATTTGCATACTTCATAACAAATATGAAAAGTAGGGTCAATTCTGATAAATTAGGCCACTTTGAGACCGTGAGATGGCTGCATGGATGCCTCCTTAAAAATAAAAATAGCTCACCATACAGGTTCCTTTGATACACCATTTTCAATGTATTGTAATTATTATTTGTGATACACTAAACCTAATATTGTATACTGCATGGTATGGCTAGTATGTAACAGTATTGATTTTAAGATTTCAAGTTAAACATGGTTCTCATAATGCTACGACTATTTTTAAGCGCCTTTTTTATGTTGCACCAGAACATCATTCAGTCACGTACACCATCTGCATATTTGATCTGTCCAGTAGACTCACCATGACACAGCTTCCCAGGTTAAGGTGCCTGAGCTCTGGGCAAAATGTGAGGATGCTCAACAAGGCTGATTGCTGCATGCGGAAAGAAATAAAACAGTGATAATTAACACACAGCACTAATGAGAGAATAACATATCCTTATATTCAGATGGCAGTGGAGTAAAAAGGAGACAACAGAATGCACATTTGATATCACAAATCAAAGATGACAACAAATTTAACTCCCCAATTCAATATTCTTCCAAATAGATGTGTCAAAATAATGATCTCACGGTCTGGCGCACATGGCTGACACTCACATCTAATATATAGTGTTAAGATGTTTCACAGGAAAAAATTTTTTTTTGGATTTAAAAACCTGAGGTGTCATGCGAGAATCACTAAGATAATACAGCCATTGTTTTCATTATTGTTTTTGGTTTAAAAAAAAAGATTGATAGTTAATAGACAAATGTTTTGTGTATATTTCCATCGATGATGACAGAGAGGTGGGTTTGCTACAGACACAGTGTGTGTTCCTGCGTATGTTTACATGCAGTCGCCATCACTACAAAAAAGCTACAGAAACATTATACCTGTTGGCAGAGGCACGCATAAACCTACAAATGCTGATTCACAGCTAACCACGCGGAGGGACGGGATGACCCTAGCATGCTTGGGCCTGCACCATCATGTAGCACTGATCTAAAGGTGATAATGCAGTATAATCATAAGCACAGGTAACTATAGCAGCTTAAAACAGGCTGGCATAATCATGTTTTCTTATTCAATTCCCAAGATAACTTGCCTGTTTAATGATGCAGTATAAACAATAAACAAAGGTGGTGCATGATAAAGCAGACAACTTTTGGGGGAACACAAAATTTCATGGGTCAGTAATTAACAATTTCAGCTTTGATGTTAAAAACCTTCATTATTACCACCCACAACTATTGCTCTAATCATGGATACAGTCAAACGTGTGATTCAGGAAATACAGCAAACATCACAGAATCAAGATTTTGCCCCCCCAAAATTACGGAGTACACAATGAGGTACAAAAACAATGTTCTAATCTGTATGGAACTGAGCAGAAGGACGCTTTCCGTTTTCTGTGTATTTATGCGAGCTGTACTGCAGCAAGAAAACAAACTGTTGTGATTGGCTGCTCCTCACAATGGCCTCTCCCACAAATGATAACTCTCAAATCGACTTGGCTTACTTGTTTTTATCAGGTAAAAATTGCAAATAAGATTGTTTTTGGATTGCTGATAGTGAATCTTGTTTAAAGTCGGCATGAAACAGAAGTTGCAATAGTCTGTCCTTCCCTATTGTGACATATAGTATATCAGAGTGAAACAGCTTCACAAACAAAAAATAGTAGGACAGGACTTGTGTCCATCGGGAATTTGATCATTGTCATTTGCTTTTGCTGTGATGTCATGTGAGTGACAGGTCGTCCCGCACTCATGCCAGTAAACGCGTCATCAGAAAAGTTGTTGCAAGAGGGAAGGGAAGTTATTTTGTTTAAATATTACAAGGCCACATAAAAAAAACAAGAAAAAAAATAATAATAAATGACGTGCGCGGATAAAAGATTTATAATAGATACTGCAATGTTCCATAAAGATTAATCGATTTTGATTTCATGGTGAATTTAATTTTTTATTTTTTTTAATGCTATGTTGAAAAAGGAATGGATGCAAAAGTGAACTGACCGAAAGTTTGATGTGTTTTGAATTTTAAATATTGAACGTACATTTTTGAAAATTCTTATCAAATTACAAATTAAAAATACATTAAATTCATAATTTCATTTAGTTCAAGCTACAATTCAGTGTATACCAGATGCTTTTCCCGAGAAAATCAGTCATTATAATTTCCTCAGTCTTGCTCTCACCTCAACTTTAGTGCGGTACAGCACCAGCCTGCGTAGATTAGCGAGTTTGGTGATGTGATTGAAAGCCTGAGGTTGCAGACGGTCACAGGAAGCCAAATTGAGCTCCTGGAGGCACGGACACGTCTGGGCGATCACCTCTAAACACGCTTCAGTCAGGAAATGACAGCACGACAGCTCCAAACACACCAGACTCACCCCACAGGCCTTCATAAAGCTTGAGGGGGAAAAAAGACAGAGATGGAGTGACTATTATGCACCTTTAGTAGATCAAACTATTTGAAATATCTGGATCAGAGACTCTCGCCGTTACCTGCAGAAGCCAGTGGCCGTCACGGCTCCGCGGTTGCCCGTCCAGGACATGTTTAGTCTCTGCAGGAGGGTGCAGCGGCTCTGCAGGTGGTGCAGAGAGGCATCAGTGAGCCGGGCCCAGTACGGCTGCAGGCTGAGCTGGATGTACTGCAGCGGGTCACAGCAGTGCTTGTGAAAGAGCTTGCAGCTCTGAGCCAATCGGCACAGGTCCGGAACCGGCAGGTGACTCACGATCAGCTGGATTAACTGCAGTGACAAAAACAAACAGTGACCAGAACACAGCATGCTAAATATTCTTGTTGTGTCACTTGTAAAGACAGCGCTACTAAGATTACTCTCAAGACGCTTATGGAGGCTCTGATTATGTTTTTGGTACGTGCACTGTTGGGAAGACTGAACAATAGTATGAGTGTGAAGCTGGATATCAGTTAGCAGATAATAGCCGGATTATGTTTCTGAAGCACATTCGTGTTTGCCTTGACGAGACTGTGAGGGTGACAGTGGTTTGGACAGGAGATCTGAGCTGCGTGCAGTTAATGAGGGCTTACGAATTGGAAAGGTATTTTTAAATTACAATAAAAGGTCTCTAATTATCTGAAAATGACTGCAGAAGACCTACTGCAACCACACAAGTCGGGACTTGAGGGGCTAGACCGAATCCCGACTATTTTTCTTCAATATCTGTCTGGTACGTAAAAGATTTCAACACTCTGTGGTCCAACTTGTGTTGTTATACACAGTCCTTGAAAACCTTCTTTGTTAACTAGCCTACATGCTATTTAATAACATGCTGATGGCATGAAACTACATATTCCTAAACTTTCACACAGGCATCATGTGAAATTTTCCAATGCTAACCTCATAAGGGAGCCTATCAAAGAAGCCGTTTCCCAGGTTTTGCCTGTTTTCTCCACCCGACCTGCAGCAGAGGCCTCCTGCATCACTGATCTCTTCTTCGCTGTCACTCAGATCATTGATGTCGATGACAGGGATCTTATAGAGGGCCAGAATGGGTCTCTCTCGAACGCCTCGCAGTATCACCGCGTCCAGCTCTGTGTAGTACTCCAACAGAGAGCAGTTCACCTCCAGACGCAGCAGGTTGGTGGCAAAACTGATCTGTCTGATGCTAGGGGAGAACTGGCGAGCTTGAGGGGTCACAGCTTTGTTGGGACTGCCGGCCCACAGAACCTCCCACCTGCAAAACAAATACAACACAACCCATACTTAAAACACAAACCGCATACAGCTCTGTAAAACAATCTGTGATATTGTTATTCAATTACTAAAGAGGAAATCTGACATTTAGTCACCATTTAGTAAAATTCACAATTACAATCAAGAATATGCTTAAAAAAAATGCATGATTGTAGATTTGGTTAAAATGGTTTACTTAAAATAAGTAAAACGTTTGGTTGACCAAATAATGATTTTTTTGTAAATATACAATCAAATATATTATATTTTATAAATATTATCACTTTTGGTCATACTTTATTTTAACAAGTTCTTACAATAGGGTGTTAGTTGCTTGCAATTGAGCACAATTTATTCCTGCTATTATTACAGTAAGTAAATACATGTAACGTGTTTTATATATATATATATATATATATATAATATTATAATAATGTTATATATATATATATATATATATATAATATAGTAATATTGGTCATTAAATTGCATAGTCAAGGAACTGAATTTTTATTATCATATTGTGCATTAATACATTTTATTAAAATAGGCACATTTTTATCCACAGCATCTTTCAGTACGTTAATGCTATTATGTTTAATACATTTGTCTACTAACTCACACAATACAGTCAATCTTCATCGGTTTTGATTTTTTTCAATGCTAACAGCTCATGGTTCACACCTTGTGGGATTAGAACCTACAACCTTTTGATTACAATTCCAGAACTTTGTCTCACACCTAACATTTTACCTGACGTCAGCCGGTGGGTTCTGGGAGAAAGGGTTAAGTGAGCACGCTAGGATCTTGACGATGGCCCCGGGGTGGTAGGTCTCCAGCACCTCCACAGCTGTGGGATAGACAGGCTCCTCGAAGGCCAGTTCCAGGTAGTCTTGGCCATGAAAATTGGGCGGCGTACGCCGGAACGGGAGAGCGGAGCTAACGCACTGCGTCCACCAGTCTCCGTAAGTGCGGAACACGGCCGTCTGGGTGAAGTCTCCTGAGCTGGGGTAGACGTTAGGCACTCCCGCCAGGTTCCACATGGTATAGGACATGCTGTTCTCGCTACCGTAATGAGAGCTGAAGTCCAGGACCTCCTTGCCGTACTGCTCGACCTCCACGGTGACGGGCAGCGCCGAACGCTGACCCAGCTCCACCGCCCGCCGGCTACCCAACGCTTCGCTCCGCGTCCCGCTCCTGGAGCGCCGCCGCAGACAGATATAGTAAAACATGCTCAGAAGGGTTAGCATAGGAAACATGGAGCAGCAGGTCTGGGTTTGAGTCAGGAAGCACAGCCCTCGTCCCTTCCCTGCGCTGTAGCGTGATAGGCTTTACACAGCACAGGCTATAGGCCAAGATACATGCATGACCTGTGGGTTAGAAAGACAAACACAAACACACACACACACACACAAACAAACAACAAAATCACGCAAGATTGTGAGAACCTTGAAATGTCAAAGGAGATCTGTAATTCCAAGGGCCTCATTCATGACACACACATTAAATCAATTTGTGTATTATTTGTAAAACACTTTTGCATGCAAAGAGAATTTACATAAGAATGAATTCATGAATAGCACAGAGATTATTCTGTAAATGTTTTATCAATGAGGCCAAAAAAAAAAGACTAGCACTTAAAGCTGCAGTCCGTAGTTTTTCCTCTTTGTCGCCATCTCTTTTCAAAATCTGCAATTGCAGTTATTCGCGGAATTATAAACTTAACGTGGGTTGTGCCTCAGCACGGCACAGCACGGATGAAACCAATGTTTTGAGGAGAAAGTGCGGCTGTCAGTCACTGCGCCGGTGTGGATACTGTCATTCGGAATTCTACTTTTTGGAAGTATGACCAACATAAGAATTTTCACCGGAAAATGTCATATGTCATCAAGTAGGTAACTTTTGTTCTGACCAACTAAGGAAAAAAAAGTATTGCAGTAAATCGCACTGATTAAATCTAGCAATCGCTTATCATATCACGTCAAACCGTGCAAATTATACTTTGTTCTCAAATTGTTAATGTTAACAACATCAGCACTGCGTGACTACATTTAATGTCCTTCCGATATTTATCCTTGTTTTCGCATGGGCCGGTTGCAGTTTCTTTTTTTCTGTAGTCACTCCGAAGTCCGAACGAAGTCTTTTGCATTTTACAACGGGTGAATCTCCAGTTGTCACTGGTGATTGTCGTTTAAACATTTCTGGATCCGCCATCAAATTGATATACCTCCGACCTCCATATAAATCTATAAATCTCCACCTCCAACATCCTCACACGCAATATAGCCTACTAGCCGAGACTCCTTCTTTATGTGTACAGATGTGACGTAATGACGCAAAGACATGCTCGAATTTCCCGTGGAAATCCACCAGTACCACTGGAGTTAAAAACATTATTAAAAGCTTACCGTTTTGAATTGAGCTAAGGCAAGCAGATAGTTTTGAACACTGGCTGGTTATGTACTTGCTCAAAAAACTATTTTGGATCATTTTGAACCCAAAAAAAGTTACGGACAGGAGCTTTAAGTATCTACAGTGCAAACAATTGAACTCAAACCTAACCTTGCAAACAATTGAACTCAAATTCTAATGAAAAAGGCTAACTCATATTAATAATAATAACAACTATAATAGCATATAAATAATACTATAATGACATTTGTACATCTGTTTAAGGGTATTTCTGTAAATGGCTTGTTTTTCAAGACGAGTCAGTAAAAATTATTTTCTAAAATGTTTTTGCATGTGGCTCAGAATACTCATTTTATCAGAGGACAGGCAAAAAGCATGTCATGATAATGTATAAAATATCTCTCAAACTGTATTGCATAACTTCCTGAAGGGGAAAAGAGGAAAGAGGAAACTTCCTGTCAAAGGTCTTCCTGATGAGAGATTCAAATGAAATAATGACTTCTGACAGCCATCACAATGTGACATGCACTATATATTCTGATGGTTTAAGCTAAGAGCAAACTAGCATCATGCTGTTTAATGCCAAAACAGTGAAAATAGTCTGCAGCAAAATATTCAAACGATATACACCATGTATTCAAATGTATACAACCAGACAATATGACAAAGCACTAAATATAGCAAGTTAAAGGGATAGTTCACCCAAAAACCTGTATTTAGTTTAAAAAATAAAAACAAAAAAAATCAATAGTTAAATCACCTTCATGTTGTTTTAAACCTGTATGACTTTCTTCTGTTGAACACAAAGGAGAGGATGACAATTTATTCATTTTTGGGGCGAACCGTGAACCATTCCCTTAATGTTAGCCTGAAAGCGGTTACTGATTGCTACTGGCTCTGTCGTTACCATATCTTTACATTGTAACCATATGTAAGTTAGCTTTTTATGTGATCGAACTGTTAAAAATGTAATCCGAAAAGAGGAACTGTTAGCGAGCTGAGCTAGAGTTCAGTAGGTTATTATGAAGCGGCTAAATAATAACGCAGGCTGTCATGCCACACCGCACTGACAGACTTAAAACAATGGCAACTTACAGACGATGCAATGGTGTGTTGGAGTGTTGTGCTGAATGTGTTCTGCGTTCTCGATCCATCTCTCACTTCAGCTGTCATTGCTCGCACATTCTTCACTGTTCACGCGGAATATAAACATCCGCTTCACCTCCGCACAATGCATTGTGGGAAGTGGAGTTCTACCACACATCATTATTGAATTAACGAAATCCTTCCTGCAGCTCGGCTGATTTGAATACCTATTTTACTTTATATTTTGAAGAACTACACAGTTATGACTGAGAAGTTTATAGATTAGGCATGAGGCATGATTTTAACGTGCGACAAATATGCTTTCTTAAATAGACTATAGGCTACAAATAGAAAATATTACACTGGTATTGCAACAAAACATTTGGTGTTTGTCAGATTTGCTTTAAATAAATGTGTGGTATAGCTTTTTATAGCTATTTTATAGTAATGTATATTTCGATCTCAGAAAGAGACATATTATAAACACATAAGGTGCAGATAAAACCAGGAAGGGAAATAATTAATGGCATTCTCTAAGAAAGAATTAGACAGTAAATGAAAAAAACATCAGGTAAAAACTGTATGCAGTATATTTGGGTCGTCAGGCTTTTATTATTAATCTTTGTTAAATGCTTTTTTATTTCTGTTTATTATTGAAAGTTATTGTAATTTTGTAATAAATGGTCTCATTCTGTTCTCTCATTATTATGGTGTGAAACAAAATCATTTAATGTGGCATTTGAATAATAATGACTGTAAAAAGTTATGGAAACCCTAATGAGTTGAGCTAGAATTGCCATCAATCTAAAGAATGTTGGTTTGATTAGTCTGGCTTGTCATAATTAACTTAAAATATTACTAAAACAGTGATGTTGTGTGTTATCAAATAAACACACACACACACACACACACACACACACACACACACACACACACACATACACACACACCACACACAAGTTGTGTTTTCATGTTTTATGGGGACTTTCCATAGAGATAATGATTTTTATACAAACTGTATATTCAATCCCCTTACACTACCAGTAACCCTACCCATAACAGAAACCTTTCTGCATTTTTACATTTTCAACTTAGTGTGATTTATAAGCTGTTTTCCTCATGGGACCAAAAAAAGGACAAGGATTTCGGATATTGCCATCTTTGCATTTTATTTTGTCCCCATAGGGTTTATCAAAAATGATCAGAAATGGCCACTGATGTGTCTTTAACTTCAAACTTTACTTTACAACAGAGAAGTACTGGAGTTATTTGTGTCTTTTATATTGTCTAAAATAATTTTGGGCCAATTTCTCACTTTTCCTATCACTCTGCTGCTCACTCCTTCTCTCATGTAACAAGCCATTGAGAAGAAAGACATTGTTTTGATGTTCTGAATAATACATTTGTCTGTTAGAATTGACTGAGAATGTGGCGATTGTGACATTTATTTCATCGTAAATGGCCACATTCCCTCGTGACCTGTCCTGCTGGCCTCTCTGGTGGATAGAAGGCGCCGCGCAGGCTTGGCTCCAAAGAATACGTGCCGCTGGCTGTCCATCATGGACAAGCGGTGGGCTCACAGAGGGAAACAGATGCATACGACCACGTCTTGGCTGGCATTTGCATCGATGAATGACTTGTCCAGTCAGTTTGTCTCATGGGTGAATTGAAGCCCCATTGTCACCACAAAGAGCACGGAGTCTCTATGGAAGCGTCACAGGCAATCACAGGCCAAACTCTCATTAGGACTGGAGCTGTATGGCAGATAAAAAAGACAATTGATTTTGAATAACAGGTTTCTCTCCAATTGTCGCTTTATTTTACTCTGAAAAAGACGCTTTTTGTGCATTATGAATGTCTGATTTTCATAAATGCCTTATCAATTTTTGAGGTCTGCCTGAAAGTTTTAGACTAATGAAAACTGTAAAAAAAAATGTGTCAGTTTAAATAAAGAAATAAATGATAAAATAATAAACATCAGCATCTGACTGTACATTATCCTTCTTATTACATGGCTACTTAAAATACACATAGACATAAAATAGAGATTTTTATAAGCTTACTTGATTTTCATTAATGTAAAAAAATGTATGTGAAAAAAAAAATGTACAAAAATGTTCCAGTTTTTATTTGCAAATGGGCTGATGACATTTAAAAAATGGTGAAAAAAGTTTCTTTCATTCGGCCCCAAATACACAAGAACAAATCTGATGGTCAATGAGAAAACGAGGATAGTTAGAGGAGGAGGCTGATGCTTCGATGAGAGGAGAAGTTGAATGCATTTAGCTTTGATGGGGAAAGGTGCGTGAAAAGCGATGATTTGGAGGATACAGAGAAGCAGTGGATCATTTATAAAGAAAAAAAGGGGGCTGTGGAAGGATTGACAGGAAGAACGGTCTGAACGACAAAGAGAAGGTTGACGGTGTTGAGTCTGTTAGCCTCCAGCGTGGACGGCTCCCTTGACTGACAGTGTGATCAGCTGTCAGCTCCTGCAGGCATCACCGACAGGCCTCCTGTCTTCTGTCAGGCCTCAGTTCCAGCCTGCTGTTCCATACACACTGCAAACACACACACACACACTCACACGCCAAAGCCCTATTCTCCCTCCGACCCAGCTGTCAAAAAGAGCACAGCTAAATAATGAATCTGGCCATATTCCTTGAAGGAAAGGCAGAGGGGAGGGGAAGCGGGGAGAGAGAGAGAGAGAAAGAGAGGAGTTTGAGGATCCTCGAGGGAAAACCAAAAACAAACCTCAGTCCATTTAATCCCTCCCTTCACAGCCACAGTGGAACAAGACAACAGCATCAACAAAAATTCGGCTTTCCATCAGCTGTCATAAATAAGACTTGCTATGACATTATCCTCTCTCTGTCGATCAAAGACCATACACACACAGGGAAGAAAGAGGAGGAGGAAAACAAACCAAGCTCCTTTTATAGATCCTCAGAGACACAATGTTGGTCAAGCATTAGGCGCCCAATTTCTACGTAAGTAATTTTAAATGAATAATGACAGAAGGCTCTTTAATATTATGACCTTTGCAGCACCAAAAACATTCTTTTAAAGTGGACCACTGATAAAGACCCCTCTGTGTAGGGTCACAAAAAGTGTTAATGGAGCTAATACCACTCGAATATCTTGTATAATTAAAGATTCACTTTTTACAATGGGAACCATTTGTAAATTATCTGGACCCTGTGGATTTAATTGATGAGAACTTCTCACCAACTATAGCCTAATGACAGCATGCTAAAATGGAACTTTGTATTTTATGAGCTTTTTAAATTTTATTTGTGATTTGTATTTTGTGGAAAATCAATTAATATATTGTTGGAAATAATGACTTTAAAGGGGCTATGTGTAGGTTTTTATTTTAAAAAATCTTTAAGATAGAGTCTTCATTTGTACATTTATGAGCCAACCATAATGTAATAGAAAGAATGACACCTTGACTGTCCACCACGGTTGCCTCTATCAGCCTTTAGGCTCAATTGTGTGTGGAGGAGTCGGGTCCGAATTGGCGTGAAAATTCACAAAATGTGTCGTCATGCGCGTTCTCGTCTACTTGGGCTTACATCCGTACGGCAGCCATTAGTAAGCAGCGGCAATCGCAAGCAGTAGTGTTTCAAATGGACTCTGCAGACGGAAAGAAGCAACCAGCCTCCAGCACAATCCAGATACCCATGGAAGTTTAAAAAAAAAAAGCCTTATCTAGTGCGGCCAACGAGCGTGCGAGCGTGCGCACCGAGAACGAGCATGAGACTGGCTGCAGTTTCTCTAACGGCCACTGGTGTCAGTAACGGTAAGAAATTTCAGAACTTTCACAATGCTCTTTAAAGGGGTCATGAACTGGCTTTTCACATTTTTTTATATTGTTGTCTGAGGTCAACTTATGACGTTCGCTTGGTTTTTACATTCAAAAACATCAAAATGAATAAGTAATAGGCTATTTTCTACCCTAGTTTTGAGCCTAGCTCAAAAACGCTCGGTTTTTATGGGCATCTCGCATTGAAGACTTGGAAGTAAACGCCCACTGCTGTGAGTGGATAACAGTTTTGCATATTATAATGAGTTTCGTGTAATGCGCGAATCGGTGGGCGGGGCTAAACCGGCCGTGTTGAAGTAGGCGTTGATCTTCTTCTGCGGGGGTGGTGTTTTATCCTCTTTGTCGTCATAGTTCCCCACTTTGAAAAATGAGTCGTTTGCTGAGCCTGGTGTCAAGAAAAGCTTTTATTGGACTAACAAAGACGTTTTCAGTTCTGAAACTTACAGGATATTCTTATAATATGATGACCTCTTAGATGTCAAAAGCTCAAGGAAAATTTGATTTCTCAGTTCATCGCCCCTTTAATAATGACTCAGTAACTGTCTTTTTTTTAAAACAGTAGTCAACCTCAATTTTAAAAAAAAGTTTACAAAGAGCCAACAATATAGTATTTGATAGTGATAGGGATAGTGTATTAGTGAGAAGGTGATTCAAATAAAACAAAACTAAATAAATAAAAAAACACTCCTGCTTATTACATGACTAAAGAAATTCAGCATCTGTAAATTATCCTTCTTATTAGATGGCTACTTAACAAATTAAATGCACATGAAATAGATTTTTATAAGCTTACTTGCTGAAACACTATTTCCAGACAGCATTATTCTGAAATATCTGACTACCATTAGCCTACTGAACAACCAGAATTATGTATTCCATCCAGACATCCACGTAATAACTCTAGATATGTTCTATAACAGACCTTTATGGTTGCTGAATGCCATTGACTTTAATGGTACAAGGTTAAAACATGAATCGCTCTCAGCATTTCCACGCTAGGAGGACAAGCCATTTAATGCTACCATTTTCAGCCTATGCTGTGGATTTTCTTATCTCATCCTCTCACTCCCTTTAGAGACCCATTCACTTAACAGCAACCATTTTCAGGATTGGAGCAATCAAAATTTAAACCCGTTAAAAATATTCCTGTTCCCACTCAAGCCATAATGTAAAATTCAAACATTTGATGCACGACAAGTCTTTAAACATGCGTGGCTGTATAACTGAACTGGTTGGATTACTAAAGGGCTACTAAAGTCATTGTGATCCATTATCATTATTTGAAACTTGCTTTTCAAGGTCAAAACCTGACCTTATATCAG